AAAGGTATGAATCTCTCCCCCAGCTATGGGTAAATAGCAGGACAGACTGGTTTCTTTAGCCTTGGGTGGCAACCGGTCTAGGAGAAAGTAACTCTGAATTCAAAACTGTATGTAGCCCTGGCATAATACCTACTATACAGCTAAAGTGTGATTGTGATTGTTCACATTGGCTTGATGACCCCCAACTGCAGTCAACAAATGATGATGAGGGGATAATTTCAAGAGCACAAAATTACGCACACTGGATGTGATTTGCTTGATAGGTGAAGTGCATGTCATTATTAAAACAAAGTCTGACATCATCCTAAAACAGACAGACACTCAAGGAAGACCAAACAGTACAGTAGTCAAAATGTGAAAAACAATAAAACAAAAAGTGAACTAACAAAAATATGATCATTATTTAGTCCAGGGTATAATGATAAACCTAGTCTTGCAGCAAAGTTTCTGATCTGCAGATTGGAGGTTTTAATAGCTGTTATTCCCAGGTCCACCCTGACCCGAAGTAGTATCACATGTTAGGGTCCCAGCTATGGGCAAATAGTGAACCCCACTCCCAAACAAAAACAAAACACTATGAAAGTACATTTCTATAGTAAAATTACCAACAATGTATATTTGTATCAAAATGACCAGCAATACATTTATGAATTACCAACAATACATTTTATCTGTAGTTGAAGGCATGCAATTGCATTCAACATATATTTAGATGATGCCATACAACATCGTTCAAAATATTTAGATTTCAGCATTAAATAATCCCTATGGGTTGATATGCTGCTAAACAAAACCAATCAACACGAAAGAATTCTTTCATGACATTAATCCATATAACATCCTACAATTTCTTAAATCAAACTGTATTCCAAATTTGATAAAAAGATGGGAGAAAAGAAGTGAAAACTTACCAGTGCCAGAAGCAAAAAGCTAGAAAAGTGGAAGTAACACTTATATAGGGAAGTGCCAATGCATTATGGGTGAGTGGTGGTTGCATAAAAGCTGGAAAGAATGATGGGCAAGGAGCTTTTTTCTTTGAAAATGGGTGTCGGTGAGTGGATGGACAGGAAAGGGAAGGAAGAAAAAGTTTTTTTTCTCTGTATATCAGCAAGACCACAGCATTTCACCATGGAAAGAGAGAAGGGGAGAATGCATGTGGCCAGTAACACAATCAGACGCTTTGATGGACAGTGAGATGTAGTGGCATGGCTCACAAAAGTTGGTTGCTAGGTTGCAACATATCACTGACCTGGTGAGTCTGATCCCACTGTACTTTGAAGGGGATGCATTGGCTCTCTATATGGATATGAACGAGATTGATATGGCAGATGCTGAGATTATGGAGTCAATGCTACTGAAGGCCTTTACGGATGGACCTTTTGTTGCATATGGAAAATTGATAAAATCCAAATGGACTGGCAAATCCATTGATGTTCATGCTAACAACATAAGGTGATTGGCAGGATTAGCGAGATTCATGGGAAGGAGTGCAGAGAGGATGGTAAAGCTGGCATTTGTACACAGATTCACAGACAAAATATCGATTGCACTTCAGCAGCTGCCCCAGGTAGAAACTAAAGAGATGAGTGAGCTGATAACTGCCACTAGGGTGCTAACTGTGAATAGAGCAGGAGAATCCCTTGGAATAGGAGCTGTGGCACAAAGCCCAACTGCTAAAGAACCAGGAACAGAACAGGCAAGAAAGTTTAGCGGACAATGTTTTCTGTGTCATGAGCCACACATGAAACATTGTAAGGAACAACCAAAGCCTGCTGTGACATGCTACAGATGTGGAGAGAAGGGACATATTGTCAGATTTTGTCCCCAGTAGCTACCTTGATGGATCAACATTGGTGCGACACCAAACCTTACCAATTGTAACGGTTGTAGTAGAGGGAAGGAAAGCAAGAGCACTTGTGGATACTGGATGCACTATGACTGATGACTCTCTGGTTGGTGAGAAGTTTGAGTGGAGGAACTCTTATAGAAGCAGTCAATGGGAGAGAGGTTGCATGCAAGGGCTCTAGCTCTGTGACGTTATTGGTAGAAGTGGTTCAGTTCAAAATAAGGGTGCTTGTTTTGGAGCACATTGTCAATGGCATTGACGTCATCATCAGTATGGACATGATTGTTAAACTGGGGTTGGGGGAGTCACCATTAATTGAAACCAGGTTAAATTTGGTAAACTGGAGGCTCCAGAAAGATTCGAATGCATGACCTCCAATAAATTTGGTAAGATGCAAAGTGCTGTGACTCTTCAACTGCAAGGTAGTGGACAGACTAGGCTAAAACTTCAAGGATTTTTGTGCCAAATTTGATTTTGAAAAAAGGAACATTGAATGGTGCTGTACAAGCAGACCACACATATTAAAGAACAGGGTGAGCTTATATGAGAATTTTATGCAAGAAGAGAAGAGAGTGGAGTTTGAAAAGGAGGTAGACAGATGGGTTGAAGAAGGCATCCTGGTACCTTGGAAAGAGAAAGTCCAAAATGGAATATTGCTACTGATGGCGGTTAACCAACCAACAAAACAAAAGTTAGGCCAGTACTAGACTTTAAGGAGTTAAATACATATGTATCATGCCACACAGGAAGTGATGATATTGATGTATGTGTAGAAACCATGCGAGTAAAGACAGATGACAGGTGCTGCTACAATTGTAGATTTTAAATCAGTATACCTGCAATTACATGTAGCAGAGAAGCTGTGGCATTACCAACTTGTAAGGTACAAGGAGACCACCTATTGCCTTACTAGACTGGGGTTTGGGTTGAACATTGCACTAAAAATCATGACAGCAGTGCTCAAGACTACTGAAGCAGGAGGAGACAATAGGGTAGGCCACTTTCTCCTATATCAATGATATCCTGATGGATGAGACAGTTGTGCAGGCAGAAAAGATGCCACCTAAAAAAATATGGATTAATATCAAAACCTTCAGATTCACTTGATTGGGGAGCAGCACTCAAGCTAAAGTAACTGGAGAGTTGGTGCTCCAAAGGGATAATGAGATTCCACCTGTGATGAATAAAATGAGTAAATGAGAATTGTTTTCAACATATGGGAAGCTGGTGGGTCACAACCCTGTGGCTGGATGGTTGAGGGTCACATGCAGCTATATAAAAAGACAGGCAAAGGCGATAAGATGGGACAACCAAGTGAGTGACAGAACATTCAATATGATAAAGGATATCACTGAGGAGATGGAGCGAGAAGATCCAGTGAGAGGAAAATGGCATGTACCAAAGGTGGGCAATGAATAGCATAGCTAGGTGTGATGCAAATAGCATAGCAATGGGAGTTGTATTAGAGGTAGAGGGTGTTAAAGCAGAGGTTGCTTGGTTGATGAAGAAAACAGACACCAGCCACATAAATGTAGCAGAATTGGAAGCAGTAATGAAAGGCATCAACTTAGCACTGCAGTGGGAGCTGAAGAACATAGAGGTGAAGACGGACTCTGCAACATAGTTGACATGGGTTGAGTCTGTTATTATGAAGGAGAGCAGGATATGGACTAAGGAAACAGCAGAGATGCTCATAAAGCGGCGACATCAAAAAAATTACACAAGATGCACCACAGAGGATGCTATATTTGCCCTGGAAAGTAGACCTGGCTGTCTTTAGGGGAATTGTGCGTAGAGTAGTGCGAGCATGCCAACACTGCCAATCAATTGATCCCACACAAAGTATGCATGAGGCCAGTGAAGTTCAGGTCTCAAACAATTGGGCAAGACTATCGATCGACATCACACATTACCAAAACGGGTCATATCTGTCAATGGTCAATGTGAGCCTGGCAGAATAGCCATATGGCAGGAGTTAAAGGGAGAAATGGGGATAGTGGTTGCATCTATAATGAACAAACTATCCCTAGAGAGAGGCCTAGTAGAAGAAGTCCTAATGGATAATGGCATGGCTTTCAAGTCAGCACCAATCAAGGCAGTACTGGATAGGTGGAATGTGCAAGCATATTACAGAGCTGCATAAAGACCTAATGGAAATGGCATTGTAGAGAGACATCACAGGATTGTGATGGCAATAGCCTAGAGGGGTCAGATATCACCAATTGAGGCAGTCTACTGGTATAACATGTCCCCTAGGAGGAGGATTGTGTACCACAGCGCTCAATATTTTAGCATGAGTGGAGACATTCACTGGTCATACCCAAAACTGAAGCAGCAGTGAGGCAACCTGGTTCAATTCAAGTTGCAGAGGAGGTATGGATAAAGCTGCCTGGTGCTCGCTGCACCAAGCAATGGGGGCGGGGAATGGTGAGTGGAGTACAGTCACAGAATAATGTTTCTGTAGATGGAACCCCTCAGCACATCCTGGATGTATGACAAGTGAACAACTCACGAAATAATGGTGACAGCAAGGCAAGGTGATAGTGATACAGATGATCCAGCATGTAGATCAGGAAGAGAGGCGTGACCAGCTTATTGGGCATGTGACTATATGGTGTGAGGATGATCTTGTTGAGATCAAGTGGGTGTGTGGTAAAAAGATGAGAGAAAAGAAGTGAACACTTACCAGTGGCAGAAGCAAAAAGCTAGAAAAGTGGAATTAACAATTATATAAGGAAGTGCCAATGCATTATGGGTGAGTGGTGGTTGCATAAAAAGCTGGAAAGAATGATGAGCAAGGAGCTTTTTTTCTTTGCAAACAGGTGTCAGTGAGTGAATGGACAGGGAAGAAGAAAAGGAGTTTTTTTTTTTTTTTTTTTTTAATTGTTTCTGTATATCAGCAAGACCACACCAAAATATCAACAAAACAATATAAAAACACACATATCACTGCCTCCAGTAATCATGTGCAAACATGTATATGCACAAAAGCTGAGTATCATCTACCATGTATTCAATTGTGAAAGCCAAATAATATATATTTTTATTACTTCAAAGCTCCCAAGAGAGTTAAATTTCAGCATTAAATGATCCATAAGGAGTTGATATACCATTAAACAAATGATTGGTTTAGCTACAGCAAGAAGTTACTTACCATTTTTGTCACTATTTTCTTTTGGTTGAACAGCGTTATTTATACTGGACGAACAAGCTTCAGATGATTCCCCATTATTTTGTATGCTGTTTGTTCTACTCAGATACAAAAGTCTCTTTTGTCTCAGCTCATCCACAGATAAAGGAGGGTCTGGTGATTTGTGGGATGTTGAGGGGACGCTAGCAGAACTGGGGGTTTCAACAGCATTGGTAGTACTATTCAGATCATCCTCTGAAAGAGAAATAGTCACAGCTACTAGAAATTTGTGATATTTTTATTAATTGATTTTAGTTTAAAGTTTTGATTTAATAAAAAAAAATAAAATAAAATGAAAGAAAGAATTATAAAAATATAAGATGGATCATGAAAAATGTTTTTAATCTTTCTAAAATTTGAAAATCCTGAAAATTCACCAATAAACTAAAACAAAGGGACCAAGAATGGTTTTTGTATTAAATCTTTGACAATCTTGTATTTATTTATATTTTTTTTAGATTATGCAAAAAAAAAAAAAAAAAAAAAAAAAAAAAAAAATCTATTTAAGAGTAGTTGACAAGCAATAAAACTTAATTTGTAAAACTGGAGAAAAATTTATACAAATATTTAATAAGTTTGCTATTACCAAAAATTTCAAGACATTATCTCATTAACATTTACTGTTCCATTTTCGGGACAGTAGGAAATAATGGGTTATAAGCAGTGTTGGATCTAAATATAGGCTTAGCAGGTTAAAGCTTAAGGCCTCAAAATCTAGGGGGCCTCCAGCCAAACTGCATATTTTTGACACTGTCATAGGCCTTTCTTACACATGCTGTCATAATGCATTGCAGACTAAATAACTCTTCAGTAATTTTAAACACCCATTATCAATCTCAGCTTTACTCAAATTGTTTAATTTAACACTCTTCCATTTTTCTCTACTCATGAGAAAAAGAGATTTGTAGGGGTCTCTCTTCATCTAAATCCTGCCCTGGTTATAGGTAGAAACTCATAAATCAATACCAGATGTTTATACACCTATAAACAATACAGGTTTACTTTTTTTTAATAAGAAACCTACAATCAATCCCAGGTGTCATGCTGGGCATTATGATAAATATTCTGACAAGCTACATTCCTTGGTTCCACCAGTCCCGACTTTTGTAGCTGGAACCCACAATGCCACATACACATGGATGAATCATCCTTATTATGTCTATATTGCCTTAATAAGAAGTGGCATTTGCTTTATTGAACAGACTCCCAGTAGGTTTTTTCTGATTACTACAATCTTGACCTCTTTAAGTCTAGGGTTAACGATTATCTTTCCTACATAACATCAGGAACTGCACTTATTGTCTTTTCTTACACTCATACAACACCACACAGAAACCCTTTGCCTTGAGTGGCTCTTGAGCTTTGTTCAGGGTGAATGTTAGTAAAAAAAAAATTAATTTTTTCATACTGTTCTTGGGTTGTTAGTCCTTTATTTAAAGGAAAGTTTTTCTAATTTCTGTTTTTTTTTTCCAAAGATTACCAGAAAATGATCTTGACATTGATCTTGACTGGAAATAATGTTTAATGATTTTCTTACAATATTTTATACCAGAAGGATCGAGGAAAAAGTGAAAAGTTTATCTTTTATAATGAAGATTTTGATACACTTGTGATTAAAGAAATTTTCAGGAGTCATTTAATTAGCATTGCTAACGTACCCTCTTATAATCAAGGTCTACTGCTGATTCAGATATAATTTCAAACTATACAAACACAAACACTATATACATTGTCTGCAACATGAAATTGAAATGATGAAAGTTGAGTGTTTTTGTACAATATGAAAATTACAAACACAATACACATTTTTAGATACATTTTAAAACTGAAATACCTACTCTCCATTATGGAAGTGACAATAATCAAGACAATCACCTCTTTATTTCATTTTAATTGTTTGTTTTATTTTATGTTTCCTTTTAGTATTTGATTTGGTCTTAGATACAGGTAAAATTATGTGAGTAGTTATGGGATTAGAGCTATTTACCAAGGCTAACCATTTTTTTTTTGGTGGGGTGGGTAGAAGACAAAAAGAAAAAGAAATTTGTTATAAATGATGCTAACTCAGAGAACAAGCAAATTTTGGAATGGTTAGTCCATAAAAAAACCTACTGAGAGGCAAGAAATCAAAGAGTCAAATGTAGAAGTGACTGAGAAATATAACAGGTTTAAAATTTGAAGCATTTTAAGAGGAATAAAAAGAAATTAAAATATTTATTTTAGAGATACTTTTTATTCTTGGAAATGATAGCTGTCAATAATTGTTTAGAATAATATAATAGCATCCATAATCAGATTGTTTATCTCAGAGACATTTCTTCTTAGAATTATATATAAATCACAGAGTTGTGTGTAGAAATAAGGAATGGAAGTAGCTGTGCCATGAAACTGAATCTACTGACCTTGCATACTTAATTGAAGAGCAGTTTCAAGTTGAGCCTCCTCCTGCTTTTGATTGTCTCTTAAGCTCATTTCCAAAGCCCTCTGTAACGATGGGTCATCTCGCTCTGCATATTCGCGTGTCGTTTCTATTACATGTTGCAAACTGGTATCCATTTGGTCTTCAAGTGATGAATTTGCAGACAAAGGTGTTTCAATTGTGGGTTTCACTGTTTGTATGGCAGGGCTCAGCTTTAGTAGAGTGTCAGCTTCACAATGAGGCAAACTACCAACAATGATGAATATAGAATAACCTGGACACGTAGAAGCAAACAAATCACTGCAAAAAGCCTTGTTCTAAGTTTAAAATAAATCAAGGATTGAATTAGCTTAAAATGGAAAAAAAAAAGCCTACTTAAATGAAAATCGAGATGTCTTATGTGACTTGTATAACAGGAAGTGATTTGAAGTACTTAATAAATAAAACAAAACAAGTCAAAAAGAAATACAAAATAAATTTATAATTCAGAAGATTTCTGATATTAAGAAGAATCAAGAAGGTTCATGGGTGTCATGAATTAAAGCAGAAAGACATTACAAATTCTCCATTAAAATGAAACTCATTAATACACTTGATAGAGGCTCACTTATAAAACTGACAGACTATAATCTAAAAGTTTTGGTTATTAAGAATATTTAAAATGAATCTCTTTGCTTCTAATTATGAACTATAAAGGGGCATTCACTAGTGTTTAATATCTTAATGACAAATTAGAAGAGAGTATCTGAACACTTACCTTCTTGCTGTAATTGTGTAAGAAATAAGGCCAAATATGTGTCAGAAATGAGTTCTGGTCCACTCAAGAGTGAATTCAGATTGAACCATTGGTAACCTATTTTGCGTATGGTAAACCAATGTTCTCTCATATTGCATATGTAGGCTGACTGTAAACTAAAACAAATAAGATGTAAAGAATTAATTGAGAATAAATAAAACTTATACTTTACTCCAGTTTATAGATATTTTATTTGTCATACAAATAAGCTGCTCCAAAAAAAAAAAAAAAAAAACAATAATTAATGGAGTAAAGTTATGATATCACAAAGATGTATAGAATCATTTTTTTTATAAAGGAAATACCAAGGTTAAGCAAATGTGTTCATGTTTTTTCATGTTTGTTTAAATTAATCAATTAAAAGCTTAAAATGCTCACTTGTTTGTTGATAAACTACATTTTCTAATTAAATATAAATGTTTCACGAATATAAGCAATAGTATTTTATATATTTTTTAATCCTTTTGTATCTGGTCTTAAGATTTTGACCAGGGGTGTATATGAAAACATAGCATACAAATCTATTGTTGTAGAGTAGGATTCTGTATACTTCTTGCTCTTCACTACTACCGTAACAATGGACTGCACCTACTTATAAAGATGGCAAGTAGCCATGTTAGAGTAGGATTTGAGTTTACAAAAGTTATTTCATTCTATGTATAAGTATTTATTAAACCTCTTCTTAGTTTCCTCTACATAGTCTTCTGTTCCTTTGATACCCTAACTACAGCCTTCCTAATTCTTGGCCATTTTGAACAAAGACAACATTGACATATGAATACATAGCACACAGTTCTTTATATATGAACACATAGTGCAAAATTTTTAAAGTATAAAAGTTAATGAGCAGAAATATAATTAAAAACATTTGTGTAATTATTCAAGTTGATTTTGCCAAAATGTTTAAATAATGTATTTTTTTTATAAAAATTAGTCTAATTTGGTTGTATTTATTTATTTTTAAAACTTTTAAACCTTATTTATAGCATTTTAAAAGTATTTCCTAAACATTTTAACTGTTTTTATTATGCTACTAACAACTAGTAATTATAAAGTTAAAATATTGTGATTTGGGGACAGTCTGAAAACTTTCCAGGACTTTTTATTTAAAAGATAACACGGAAAGCAAAAAGTTAACTCCTATCCTCTTTGATAACATCTTAAGTCCAATTCTGATTTGTGTATGTTTTGAAAAAAAAAAAAAAAAAAAATTCTGTTTGGCTTTTAATACTGAATTCCAAAACTCTCAAGCAGTAGCAGCACTAGTCAAAGTAGAAGGAAATAATTCTCAGAGATATGATCTTTAAGATCAACATTTAAATGTAATATACACAATATTTCCATCATAAAAAAAATGCAAAATGAACAAAGTCCTATTAAAATATTAAATATTGCAATTTTTCTAACAGTTTCATTAACTTTAATAATTCAGTATGAATTTGAAAAGTGTAAGATCTAACAAGATTTTAAAATTGTTTTAGCATGTAAAAACCAGAAAAAAATAAAGTTTTCTATGAAATGGACAAAGTCCGACAATTATTTTAAGACATTTTTATGTTTATACATTCTTTTTATAGATACAAATATTTAAGTAAATGCTCTGTTTATAATAAACAGTATTAAACAACATTTACCAGTCTGAATGTCCGAGAGATTTTATAGAAAATATTCATCCTCCGACAGGATTCAAACCTGTATCCTATACAGAACCGTCATAAAAATGCCTTAAAATAATTATCGGACTTTGTCCATTTCATAATGTGTGATGTCATTTGTTTACATTTGATAAGCCAATCAGCAGATATGAATGTACGCGAGAGATTCATGGAAGATTTAAGTTTAAATACAGTAAATTCGACATTGCTAACCAAACGCTCCTCTGTCAGAGGACAAATATTTTCTATGAAAATTTCTGACATTCAGGCCGGTAAATGTTGTTTAATACTGTTTATTATAAACAGAGCATTTACTTAAATATTTGTATCTATAAAAAGAGTGTATAAACATAAAAATGTCTTAAAAGTTTTCTATGTAATGTTGATCCTTCTACATGTCAATGAATGCTAGACAGTTTCCTAAAGGAGAAGATCAGAGGCAACAGAGATATGGCTTCACAGAAGGATACTGAGAATAACATGCAACAAAGTAATTTTAAGGGAAATGGAAACAAAAAGGATATAAAAAGAGACAATCAAAAGTAAATTTACCTAATGATGATAGCACAGGGAATGGGAAGGATAGTAAAAAGATAAACCTTGCTAAGAGCTACAAAAGATAGGAAGTTGTGAAGAGCCATGATATCACACATCCTGAAAGGATATGGCTGAAGCAGCATTTTATGACAATTTTTTTTTGTATTCTTTGACCATACCCAAATTATAAAATATTGCCAGATGATAAAAATTTTGTGACACTGACTTTGCAGCCAATAAGCAAATCAGTTGAAATTTTCATCAAAGCAGAAAAATCTCGTAAAACGTTTTTTTTTTTTTTTTTAACCAAAAATATTAACAAAGTGAATTTTTGAAGAGAAAATATGTAAAAATTGATTGATCGATTGATTGACAGATTTGTTTTCATGGCCTATCAACCTTTTGCAGATTATTTAAAGCCATAAAATATTTTTAAATTTTAAGAATTTTGGGGAGGTAATGATTTACTCAACTATCAAGTCCCACTATTTAACCCATATCTGGTGGGAGAGGAGGTGGATTCATACCTTTTCCAAGGGTATTTTGTATGTAAGTGAATATAACAAACTTAACTGGAATTGAAAACCAGCTCTAAGATTTCCAATTCGGAGTTATTATCCATTACACCACCTACACATCCAAGCTTACAGCACCTGATATTCCTAAGAGGACACCCATCTAGGTACTGACTAGGCTCAACATTGCTTAACTGGAAATCCAAATAAGTAAAGAATATCAGGTTATGTTTGAAGAGATTTAAAATGGCTGAAGAATAAGCACATACTTACACAGGATTTTTTCTTGCATCTATTGCTGTGGGATGTTGACTATTATATGGTATGATATCTAAGCTCCAAACTCCTAGTGCTTTTGTTATTACTTGTATAGAAAAGAACCCTCGGTCATCCATATTTGAAGATGGTTGCTAAAATAAAAAAAATCTATTTTATTAGTGAAATAAAATTTGAACAGTTTAAACATACATTAAAACTATTCACTTTATACCTTACATAAAGAGTAAACATACTGTAAACTGTTACCTTTGAGTCTCAAATAGATGGCTTGTAACAATTATTTTTTTCAGAGCAAAAACAAACCCAGGACATGATTCTAAATTCAACCTTTTATTAAATTTCCAAGAAATTTCCTTTTGCTCCTTAATTTAGGTTGTGTGCAATGTAGGGTAAATCATTTCATTATTGAAAATTATAATAAATTCAAATCACCCTTTTTATTCCATACACTATTTGAAACTCAAGTGTAAGCAGAGATAATTCTACTCATTAAAGGTTAATTGATCGATTCCTTTTTTATGGCTTATGAACCCATTGCAGGTTATTTAAAGCCAGAAAATATCTTTTAGATTCTAAAATTTTGAGGGGAGATAATGTTTTAAAGATACAAGTATTACTAATTAACCCATAGCTGGAGGGGGGAAGAGGTGGATTCATACCTTTCCCAAGGGTATTTGCACGTAAGTAAATATAACAAACCCAACTGGAATTAGAACTCTAATCTCCGATTAACTATTCTGAGCCATTACCCATTGTACCACCCATACATCCAAGCTTACAGCACCTGGCAATCCCAAGCAGTCACACCCATTTAGGTACTGACCAGGCTCAACATGATGTGGTGTAAGTCTTCAGTAAATGGGATTTCAAAATTCAATGCTGGGTGTAGATTTTCTTATTGCAACGTACTTATCAAGTACAAAAACAGAGAATAATGTGAAAGACAAAGGTTTCTCCCGATCATAAAAAAGATCTTTATAAACATAATTCAGTCAGTTATGTGCCATGCGTGATACATGCTGAAACAATCATGTATCTTTCGATACATGACTGACGAGGCAGATTTTTTCCCCCCACACTAAGTTGACATTTCTTTCTGCAGTAGACCAGTTGCCATCAAGGCTATAGAACCTAGTCTGTCCTGCTATTTACCCATAGCTGGTGGGGAGAAGAAGAAGATTCATATCTTTCCCAATGGTATTAGCATGTAAGTGAATGTAATGGATTCAACTGGAATTCAAACTCGGCTCTCCAATACCTCAATCTGAACCACTATCCATTACTCCATGTCTCCTGTGAAAGACCTTACTAAAGTTAAAATGTTTCTCTTGATCATAAAACAGGTAAGATCTTTATAATCATAATAAAACTTAAATGTCAAACGATGGTAAATATTAGGTTAGTGTGAAAGAAAATGTTTTTACAAGTTGAATAAATAAATCCTCAAAGCTCTGTTAGCTTAAGGATCTAAGGAAAGATTAAAAAAAAAAAAAAAAAACTTACCTCTAAAAAATGCATGTATTCCTGTGAATTAATGCCTCCCTCTGCCATTTGTTCTCTTTCTTGGTCATCTAATTTGCGAGCTATTTCAGCCAGATCAACTGGATTGAAATATTGGCCTTGAAGAAGAGAGTTGAGGCAGTGGAGGGCACAGAGTGAGCCCTGTTGCTAAGTATATAAGAAAAATAAAACAAATATTCAAACAAAATGTTCATTTTCATTGAGGGGAAGAAGTTATTCCAGCTACTTATGAACTAACAAGTGTGTTGTATATAAAGAATAAAATGATAAACATAACTGTCAAAAGATGGCCGAATGTAGGCAAAATAATTTGTTTTTTATTGACCAACAAAAAAATTAAGCACCACATAATCACCATTCATTATTTTCTCCTGGAAAATTATATAAAAGAATATGTGCAACAGGAAAGAGTTAGTGTTCAAAGTAGAACTATGAATACTAAAGCTAAATTATAAGATGCATCTCTAAAAAAAAAAAAAAAAAAAAAAAAAAGAGTCTGAAAAGTAAGGTATAAATAAGCATAAATCAACTGGAATTAAAAATATTGCAAAAACTAAGTCTAAAGCAACAATACATCTTGGATGTGCAGGTGGTGTAATTGTTAGAGGCTCAGAATGAGAAATCGGCAAGCAGAGTCAAATTCCAGTGCATTCCATTTCACACAAATACCCTTGAGAAAGGTATGAATCCATTTATAAATTTATAAGTGTTAAATAGCAAGGAAAACTGAACTCTATAACCATGATTGGTGACCAATATAGAAGGAAAACTCTAAATTCAAAATCATACATGTCCCTGGTGGGGGCACATACTTGAACTATAACTAAAGTTCACTTTGCATAGTTACAATAAAAACCTCATGTTGGCTCTGTGGGTGTTAAAAAAAAAAAAAGTAAGTGTCTGAGCAGATGGAAATGTTCAGAAAGAATCAGCCATGCTGAAGATGAGAAATCACACTGATTTGCAATGTGACTTCAAAGTTCTGATGGTGAATACTTCTTGTAATTGTCAGAACAGCCTTAATACTGAATGCAATTTTCCAACAAAGATGTAAGCTACCATAAAATAGTGGACAAATAGCTTTAACAGATGAGATTTTTGCAGGTCAAAATCCAGTAGAAATTCATAATGAACTCATTACTTTGTATGCCAAACATGTAATGAGCTGGAAGCAGGTACTGGTCTGGTGTAGTGTGTTCACAGAGCTGTGTATGAATCTACAAGACTAACTTTGTGTAGAGAATCCACATTCATCAATATAAAAACATTTTTTAGCTTTTGATTGATGGATTTGATTTATTAACAGCTTATCAACCTTTTTCTGTTTATTTAAAATCAGATATTTTTACATCATAAGAATTTTTTTGAGATAATTATTTACTGATACATGTCCTACTAATTAACCCATATCTGGGGGGAGAAGAGGTAGATTCATACCTTTCCCAAGGAAATTTGTGCATAAGTGAATATAATGAATGTGACTGGAATTGGAACTTGGCTCTCTGATTTCCAATTCAAAACCATTATCCATTACACTATCTGCACATCCAAGCTTACAGTGCCTGGTAATCCCAAGGAATCCCTACCTAGGTACTGACTAAGCTCAATGTTGCTTAACTTCAGTGATTATATGAGAACTGGTGTTTCAAGATATGATTGTAAGCCTTTTAGCTTTTGGAATGCTAGAGCACATGATGACTGGTGATTGGACCTGGTTGCATCACATTATTCCAAAAACAATGGCTGATTCCATGACCTACAAGCATTTGTCACTAACCTCCCCCAAAATAATTTTAAGTTTAACATGCTGTGAAATAACTGACTGCAACTGTGTTCTAGTTAGCTTGATGGATTTTATAACTAGAATCTTTATTGGGTTATTTAATATAAAAATCTGTTTACACCCAGTCCCATAGGGTAATGTTGGCCATTTACACTGAGACCTGAAGGCATCTATTTGGTAAGTAGCTACTCTGGAAGGGGTCTTACCCCTAAGTAGGATGTGCAGTCAGTTTTGTAGGCCTCCACCAACAGTGTCACATTAGCATGATGTTAGCCAACCTGACAAGTGTGATATGGTTTAGCAGTTATATTGCATCCACCACAGTCTGAAGAAGCAAAGTCTGGACTATCATCTCTTCTGCATTACAATTTTCTAAGAATAAAGGTTTATCCCATGACCTGCAAACATCGATTTTCATTGACCTTCTCCCCAAATTAATTCCAAGTTCAACAGTCAGTAATGGCAACAGATAGGTTGGTAGATTTTATGACATATCAATCCTTATTAGGTTATTTACTTTCAAAATTAGATTTTTGTTATTTTGCAGATAAATGTTGGCCATCCATACCTACATACTGGTCTGTGAACACCTACTTGGTAAGTGGGTTCCTTTCGAAAGTAATTTTCCTCCTCTGCAAAAGATGTAATCAGTATTTTGTAGGCCCCCACTAACAGGGGGCAACAACTGTGTTCTGGGATGTAGATGGCATACTGCTTTTGGACTTCATACTACATGATCAAACAGTTAATGAAGTCAGATATTGTTAAATACTAGATTGACTGAGGAAAGCTGTTTTTTTTTTGGAAGAGATCAGTAGGTCTGCATAAAGGTGTCATCCTGGTACAGGAAATTCTTACCCTACACATGGCCAAGTTGACAAAAGGGTAGCTCCAGCAATATGGTTAGCATGTTTTACTGCATCCACTGCATAGTCCTGAATTAACTTCTTCAGATTATCATCACTTTTAACTCATCAAATAACATTTATCCATGAAACAGCACCCCCCTCAAATGATGCTGTTACAAACCTGCAATTGTTTGATGCCATGATTTTTCAAAGAGGGTATGTACTGATGGAACTATATTAATCTTAATGGTGACTATGATGAAGTAGCAGCATAGTAATTCTGGATTAGTAAAGATTTATTACTTTGAATATTTTTTTTGGTAATGAAAGTATTTTAACAATTATATTCTTAATCAGGACTGCTGCATATTATCCCTGAAACGGGGGGGGGGGGTAACCTGATTAGGAGCCTTGGACAGTGATACTATCTTATGCACATTTCCTTTTTTTTTTTTTACCTACATTTATATATGCCACAAATTAAAATTAAGTGCAACTGGCTCTTAAAGAATGAAAAATTTTTACAGACTTTGATGCAATTCTGGGGTATTTTTTTTTTTTTGGCCAAATCCATGAATTTGTTTTGCTCATGCTAAATGTAAAAAAAAAGAAAAAATACACTTTATAAAATTCATAATACTGAATGTGTTAAAATTATCCAAATTTTTAACTAGAATCTCAAGTTGATGTTAAAAATTACTGCAAAACATTGATTTATTTAAGATCGAATGATCTATTATGACATGTCTAATATGTATTTAGATACATTGCATTTATTTTCAATTTTTCTGGTTGAATTGTTTCCCTATATTGCATGATTAATTGTTGTACATAATTAGGTTTCTGAAATTTGGATTAAACCTAGCAAGAAAAGGATATTTACATGTGTGTGTATATATATATATGTGACACATGCAGTGGCTGTTAATAATCAAGTATAACTCAAGACTTCAATGTTAAGATAAAACAGTATTTAATTACAACACAGGGGTCTGCTCAGTGATGATGAAATGTTACTAGCTTGGTTTTGGAAGTAATGAATGTTACAAGTCAGTCTATTTCTCCCCATTGAGCTGTGAGTTTGGTGGTCTTTCAGAACTGTATCTTTTGCCTGCTTACTACAACAACAAAAGAGATTAAATAATTAATTATCATTTACCATTCTCCTGCCAATACCAACAAGAATGGCCACACAATCATCAAAGATCATGACAGCATTTTATCCATATTGATTGCGGCCTTGAAGTAATTATAACATGATTTGTTTATGAATTAAATAGGTTATTCAGTTAAAAATTGCTCAGTTGTTTAATCAAAAACTGTTCAGCATTTGGTAGTTTTGAATCAATAGTGTAGCAAAGACCTGACTGTTTAGAAAAATGTTAATATAAATCCATGTTCCAGGTAATATTAATAACTAATACCTGGAACATGTATTTTTTAAAAGCCTTTGTACTTTAATAAAATAAAAAAATCAAGTTGGTATACAGGTAAACTAAACAGAACTAGAAAATATAAAGTAAAACTTGGAAAAATTTCAGTCAAGTTATGAACAAACTCCTTTTTTCCTGTTTAGAACCTGGTAACAAAACTAAAACCTACCAATCCCATAATTCAGTCTTAAGAAAAAAGCATCTATCTCCCCACTTTTGAATCTCTTCAATGAGATATGAATCATAAAACAAATTAAAAATTTCCAGTTCTAACATGGCAAGCTTACAAAAACTATTGGTAACAGAAATATAACATAAACCCAAATATCAAACACCTTTGCTTTATGTCCAAAACATTTCCTGATTAAAAAATTTGCATATTCTAAAACAACTTTACTTTTAATTATTCTAAATACAATAATTTAACAAAATTATTTTTTCTTGTAGCCAATTAATATTGGATAAGCATAACAGTTTTATATAATGCTAAAGTATGAAATATTTGCATAATTCATAACAAATTTATAAATTTAGCAAAATGAGAATTACTAAATGTCTAAAAACTACAATTCCAATAGAATGCAAAACAAAAAATTAAATATTCAGTATTGTAGCTATTAAATTCAACCCATCTGTAATAACAAAAAGGAAACCATGAAAGAGTGAATAATTCTCATAGTTTGATGACAAACAAGACAAAAAAAAAAAAAAAAAAAAAGTATACCAACTTAAACCACTAACTTGATCTAAAACAAAAAAAGACCAAAAGATTAGTAATTTATGCAGTTGTGTTTTACTTCCTGATAAATAAAATTATGGTGCATTACTTTTATCATACTTTCTTGAGTATAATACAACTGTTTCTGAAGCTAAAAATAGGAAATAAATTACATCCTTGAACATAATACGACCCCAATAATACAGCCATTCCTACTTTATTTTGAAAAGTTATACCATATTATCCATTAAAATCTCAATGTTGCACATATATTTCACTAAAATATTTAATTTTTTACGATATTAAGAAACATAAATGAACCGGATATTTAGCCATTGCATGTTATAATTTCCATTTCAAATCTT